CACAAATAGTAGCCATATAGGTCAGTTTAAAATCCCAACAGCTACATTTTTTAAACATAAAAAGAAGAAAGTTAAATTCATTTCAAGAATGAGTTTTATTTTTGCAATATATCAAAAATATAATCATTTCAACCTGAAACCAATATGTTTAAATGATTAATCGGGCATTTTACGTGCTTTCTTTCACACTACATCTTTGAAATCAGACGTGGGTTGTGCACGGCCAGCACCTCTCCATTCAGACCCGCCAGATTCGGAGAGCTCAGTGGCCACACATGAGTTGTGGCTGCCATATTGGGTAACAGAAGTATAAGCAGGCAGCCAAGGAAAATGCACTGGGAGAAAGTATAACCCTAAAAGCACTGGATACAACATGATAATTCAGTCCATTGGCAAACTCAGTGGGAAGCTTCGAGAGCTCAGAAGAAAAGGGTTTAGAAATAAATTGCCCCTGTCCTTCAACCACATCACTTTTTTGCTGTATTTGTTGAAATCCTACAAGGATTTGCACACTCACCCTGTGTATACCTAACAGAGTATTCTTCCCAGCCTTTTGATCTCTATTCCCATGAGGACCAGGTGCTCAGGCACAAGACAGCCCCAGTACTCCACCAGCTGTGGCTTCTGGATTCCAGAGGAATGTGGGGGGGGGGGCGTGAGGGTGGATTTGTGTGGCTCTGTGTAGCATGTGTCTGTGTGTGGACATTCCAGGAATTTGTGTGCAGGAGTGTATAGTGTATGTGTGTCCTGAGGGTGATTGAATGCACAAGAGTTGTGGGGCATGTGGGAGAGAAGAGAAGGGAGAGGCAAAGGCAAGACCAGGCTCACCAGCTCCCGGGGCCCTTACCCGATCTGAGTTCACGGTGGAGCTGCCTCTCAGAGGAAGAGCCCACCTTGGCCATTGGAACTTTCCCACAGCCATCAGCTTCACCCTCAGGAGGGCCTCTTCAGTGCTTCAGCACATTTAAAAAACCCACTATTATGTAGGCTCTGTCTATGTCCTACAGCACAGATGCCAAACACAAGGCCCACGGGCCAGATCCGGCCCTCCACCTTATTTTATCCACCAGGAACCTTGTTTCTAACAGCCATAGTGCCGAGCTCTCACTTAACTGTTAAGGAGTAGTTACATTTATAAAGTCCTAAAATTACATTTGGTTCTCTGAAGGCAACTGGGAGGCTGATGTGGCCCCCAGTGAAAATGAGTTTGACACCCCTGCCTGAGAGAGACATTGGTGATTCAACCTGGCAAAGCTCCTTCACACCTCCTAGTAGTCAAGACCTCTGGAAAACTCTGCCTCTGTCTTCCTACAGGCTCCAGCCATTGCTGGCTTTGCTGGAACAAGGAATGCCAGGCGGGGCAAGGGCACTGGGGAGGCTCTGCTGCCCAGGCCCAGCCTGGGGGGTTGCACACACACAGAGACTTGCAAGAGCAACCTCAAAGAAACTAGAACGTTTCTGGGAGTGTTCTAGTTCAATGACAAAGGTGTCCATATTTAGGAAGAGTTTTTCCTTGATAGGCAGCCTTAGCGGCCTCCGGCTTCACCCTCATCCCCAGACCAACACAACACCCAATGGGGCCTTTCATCCAGTTATTTCTCTTTTTTCTTTGTTGTGTTTACAAAAACATTATTTGGTGGCAGTCGTTTTCCAAATCCTACTCCACAGTTTGTTAAGGGACCAAGAGGCTGCAGGACACCAGTGGAGGCTACGGGGCTCCCAGGAGAGAACCTGGCCCTTCGCTGCCTTCAACTTCTATGCTTATTTTTTCAGTTCTGGGCTAGAAATTGACTTGGTGGCTTTCTCTGTGTTGACTGCCTTTTCCTGGAAAAAAAAATTCCGGACCATGGATGAGGTAAGGAGAGAATCGAGGACGTGGGATCCTGTAAAGAAGCAGAGAAAGAACAGGTTAACAGATGGGTGGGCCTAGGGAGGACACAAGCTTGGTAAGAGAGGAAAACTGCCTTCTCTGGAGCCCGGGGGCCTCCAGAAGTCTGGACAGCAAAGCTCCGCTGGGCCTTGGCGTCCCTCGGACCTGACCGCGGCGTCTCTTGGATCCGACCTCTTGGACCTGACCGCAGCCGGTGCGCCATAAGGGTCTAGCGCCCACATGTGCGTGTCCAGAGGGACCCAACGCATTCCCCGCCAGCATCCCAGCTCTGTGCACCCACCTCATGGGCTATCAGCTCCAGCACCAAGTGCATCCTTCCTGCCTTTTTGTTTCTAGGGGGAAAAAACAAAACAAAACAAAAAACCCCTGAGATCACACTCGAAGTTGGGGGTGGGGTGGGGGGGAGGCGATGGAGAGGGAGAAGATTCATAATCTCAGCAATCGGAAAAACAATTACATAAATCACTAAGACTCGTGTCGCCGTGGGCTCTCTAAACTGGTGCGCTGTTTGCAACAGCGCGGCTGCCTCGTGTAACTAACTTGTTTGCTTTGTGGCACACAATTGTTCTAACGTGTATTGTTTTGAGTTCAATCTAAAGAAAATAATTTCAAACTCTCTCTCTGGCATTATTATGAAAGTAGAAGATGGTGTTTTTGTGAAATTCACCCCTTGTTACCTTAGCCGCTCTCAGTGGATTTAATTTTACAAACAACGCTTAAGAGAAAACTCAAAAACCTCAACATTTCAGAGTTGCCTGAGTCAGAGGTCCGACCTCAGAAACCCCAAGGATGTGTCTTAAAGTTTTCGAACCTGTGAGAAAGAGAAAATTTTGGATCATCAGCAGTTGTCACTTGCAAGCCACCCCCCTCCCTTTACCCTCCCAACAGAAGGGGATCTGGAGTTTGAAACGTGTCATGGAGAAGAGAAACCTTTGCCCAGCGGCTGCTAATGAATTCGAATTGTATAGTTTTCAAAACCTGATGTTTTGCAATGATGACATTAGTGTGGCAACCGAGGGTCCGAGGCGGCAAGTCTGCGCAGCTGCTCAGCGCTTTGAAATGCCCAAGACAATGGGCGCCAGTGTTCCCGGGCGCTTCGCCTCTCCACGACATTTGCATAGTCTGTTCTGCCTGATTGACCAGCGGGTCTGTCGCAGGGGTCGGCATTGTTCACAGATCACGTCAGGATGGCAGAGATGACAAGATTCAGGTGAGAGATGAAGTGGGATGATTCCAGAATGCCACGACAAAAAGCAGCCCTGGGAAACTAGGCAAGGGCTGGGGCAAGCTGACTTCGGAGGGTGGATTTACTTGCATGCTTTTAAAGACCTCATCAAGGTGCTGGAGGAGAAAATTGAACACAAAGATTTTAACGGGAATTTACAATGTCCTATTTGGTGGGTGATTTGGGGTCCTTCTGTATCAAAAAAATCCAGTAATTTCATGGCATTTTATTTCACTGTATTTTTTTACTCTCGTAAGTTCCAGTTACACTGCCAAAAGGGAAACATGTAGCTCCATTCTATGGGGCCAAGAACTGCCACCAGTTGAGACTGAATTTGCTGTTTTTCAGAAACATCCCTTTTGAGAAGTCGTGGTGGTGGTCCCGTGGCCGGCAAATCTGAGTTGGAGAAGCGAATAGAATCTGATAATGTAGTTGCGAGTGACCAGTCGCACGCAGCACCTGGTTACAGCAGTCAGTCGCTTCGGACTTCGCGGTGCACAGCGGAGTCGCAGGAGCGGAGAACCTCCAGCCCCGCCGCACGGATCCTCCTCTGACGCTCGTGTTTTGACTTCAGTCAGAAAGACAAACTCTTTGCCATACAAGTGTCTTTTCCCCAGAGGCCTCAATTCCATCTGCATAGTGTTTTACCCCTAACGCAGGAGCCCCGCGGGGACTGCAGCAGTGGGACGTATTTCCACACCCAGGGGTTTCTTTCTTGGGGGTTTCAACCACTGGAGAATAAATATTGCCAAGGATTTGCGGAGATAAGGCGGGGACAGGTGGGTGGGGCAGTTTGAAGGTAGAGGAACCCAGACGAGGGGAGGGAGCACCTTTACTGCAGAAAAAGGAGGGCGGGGGGACATTCCCTCCCCCAGGTCAAAAAATCTTAATTCTGACACAAGACACGTCTTCGCCGGGTGGACAGCAGACCGCATCCCCGCGAGCTGAGAACCTGCTCAGGCCCAGCTAGCTGCGCTCCGCCCTCCTCTTCATCCTTGGCTCCCTCTTCGTCTTCCTCCGCTCTCTTCCTCCCCCTCCTCTTCTTCCTCCTTCAGCCTCCTGAACCCCCGCACCACCCACCCACATGCAAAAGTCAGCTCTGGAAAAGGCGACCTGCAGCCCCGCCCGCGGGCACCAAACCCCGGGCAGGTCGAGTCCCGCGCAGTAACCTAGCTGACCCGAAAACCCGCCCTGCTGGCGCGGGGCAGGCGTTTCCATGCCTCCACCCGCGTTCTCTGTGAATTGCAACGACGCTCATCTCGGGAATATAACGATTAATCCAGCCGCAGGTTTCCAGATAAGTGATTGTGATGGAGATTGTTGGCGAGAAAATAGACAATTATCCGCTGTTAGCTTTACATAAAGATCGCATTAACTCAAATTAGTTATCAGACAAAAGAGCGTCGGCGTGCGCGCCCGGCCAGCCCGCGCCCTGCCCGCGCCCTGCCCGCGGGGACCCTGGGACCAGCCGGGCCCAGCACGCTGCTGGCAGGGTAAGAGGCGAGGGGTCGCGCACGAGTGAGGCCCGAGGCCAGCCCCACGCAAGCCCTCGAGTGCTGCGCTTGCTTGGAGGCGGCGCGGGGCTCCCTCTGAGTCTCCAGGAGCCCCAGGGGCGCCTGCGCACCAGCTCCGCCCCCCACCTCGCCTCCAGTCCCTTCTACACCCGCGTCCCTTCCAGGGCCCCACGTCCACGGTTTCCCGCGCGCTATCCGCTGCGTCGCCCTTCCGTTTCCGCATCTCGCAGGCCCTGGTTTTCTGTCTTAGAGCCGGAGCAGGAAACATCAGTCATTTTCTCGAAGAGGACTGGCCCTCGTGCCCCCGTCGGAATTACACAGGCAGCGATGGAGAGGGTCCTCGGCCACGCTGAGCGAGCGTCGACAGGGAGGCCCTGTGGCTGAGTGCCCCCAGATTCTACTGCCTAATCACTGTAGCTCCCAGCGCACCTCGTGTAGCCGCCCCCCCGCGGCCCCGGTAGCCGCGAGGATGAATGGGAAAAGCGCACTGGGGGAGAAAAGGCACAGTGTGACTCTCTGAGCTAAGTCGGTGGCCTGGGGAACCGACAGGGACCTGCCGCTCCAGGCTGGAAAGGGGGTAGGGCAGTGCCATCTGACTCGGGGTGAACCACGTTGCGCACTGTCCACGCCCGTGTTGCCTCTTGCACGCCCTTTCCTCCTTTGTCCCTAGTGGTGTTGACATGGCCCGTCGGATCACGGATATCGAGGATGCTGTAGGTCGAAACGCACACACCGCTGTTCAGCGCCCCAGCCCCGCCGCAGGGCTAGGCAAGGTCTCCACTCCCACAGACGCGCACTGGCGCTCCGGCGCAGGCCGGCCTTTCGGACCCCTAGGGTCCCCGGGCCCCGCTGAATAGGGCGGATAATGACCCCCGGTTCCCAAGGCAGGCTTTCTGCTGCCTGGTGAGCTTGGATTTGTGTGGTCCAAGCCTTTCCCAGCTTGTCCCATTCTGTCACCGGGATAAGGGGCTCCCTCGGCTCGTTTGCACCTGCGTCGCTTTTGGCTCCTTCAGGAATGCGCTGAAGCTTGTAATCAGCTTTGTGAAGCCATTGAGTGCACGGCTGAGTGAAACTTCCAAAGCTCGAGGAAAACTGGCCTGCTGAATAGGAGCCAGCATGGGGCTGCTCTCCAAGCCTCCACGTTGCCAAATTCCAGCAGAGCCCCTCACAATCGCTTCGCGCGGGCTCCACCGCTTCCCCACACTGAGAAAAGTGAGAAAAGAAAAGCGAAAATACCAGTCACCGAGGTTAGCCGTTTGTTCCCAGATTAATGGCAAACGGTTCTCTCTCACCGTGGTCCTCCCCCCCAAACTTAGCTCACTAATTTAGGAAATATGACATAGGAGAGGGGACCACGGTTATTAATAACTCCTCATCTGATTTTACATTTTCAGCATGGAGGTCTTCTCTCTGCAGTAGCTGATTTCCAAGTCCAAGTTTTCCAGTGAGATTCCTGCCAGGAGATTTCTTGTCTATCTCACCTTACTTGTGTGGAATCAGATGAAGGCAGATGTAAAAATCCTCCAAATTAGCACTAGGAAGCCCCCCAAAACATTTCCTCTAGGCAACAAAACAATAAACCAGTCCTGTCCCTTTGCTAGGTCACCCTCACCCCACTCGGCAGAACCTATGTCCCCAGTAACATGTGCCTTGGATCGCAGTGGCTTTGGAAGAGAATAGGATGCATGGAAAGTAGAACTTCTAGGACATATAAGATTATTGTGTTTTTTCTAGATAGATGACTTCAGAATTTGAGGTGCAAGAAGTGTTAGAGCCGTGGTTGTCCCCCATCTCCATCCCATTGCTTGTGCTCCTGGCTACAGTTCTAGAAAGACTGGTGTCCCTTGGGCCTTGGGCCCTCTCATTCTATCAAAGTAAATGGAAGGAAGGAAGTTCCAGGCTGGCTTTCTCTCCAGACAAGGAAATCTCTGGCAGCCAATAGATCAGCCAGCTTGCGAAAGGCAAACTCATCATACTAATCAACATTAGTCAAGACATATCAGCATCCTGTAACTATCAGATTCTCTGGGTCAGGGCCATTTCTTTATGTTAATACACCCCAACATCTCAGAACAGTGCCTGGCACACAGCAGACACTTAATACAGATTTGTTGAATGAATGTGGTCTACTGTTTTTCCTCTGAACTCAGAGCGTGGAAGCAGGTCTGCAATTTGGAGTCCTTTCTTCAAATTGTGCACAAGGCTCACTGTCCCCTGAATCCTAATAAACATAACTTGTAAGGAAAAAAGTAAAGGCAACATCATGGTCCATGCATAAAAACTCTCTATGATTGCTGTGAACTCTTTAGCTAATTAATTCTTCCCACCATAAATTGGAAGCCTTTTCTCTTCTGAGAGCACAAATCTATTATTTTTAATATTTGAGCTGGATTTCCATTCCTTGAGATGTTTAGATGACTAAACATCATCTAATTTCTGCAGGGTTTTCTCCTGCCCCAGCACCTTGCTTTTGTGGGTGCAACATAATGCCCAGCTGCTGCTCTGTGCCCTGGTTGGATGGAAAGGCTTAATAGGTCTCTTTAAATACCTGACTTACTATAAAGCCCTGGGAAGAATCAGGCAGAGGAAGGAGAGGAGAGCTCCCCTTGTGGATGTCCTGTTACATACAGTGTTTATGAGACCAGGAGTGGGCAAGAATTCTGTTCATACAAGGGGCTATAATATCTGAAACAGCCTATTTGGTTGAGGGAAAGACTGTATTCAAAAAGGTCAAGTGATATGCTCAGAAGTCATCATGACTGTTGTAAATAACAACAATAAAAAATAAGTAAATGGTTGTCCTGTTTTGAAGCACATCATACAGTTCTGTTTAAGAGCAAGGTAATTCTCCCATTCATACACTTCTGAACCCCCCAAAATGGCACAATAAGGAAATTTGGGTCTCAAAGAGAAGTTAAATATCGCCCTATGCCAGGACCGTGTGCATTCATTCACAGATGCTAAAGTACTTTCAAAATCCCAAATTCATACCACCCACTTTGACATCCGAAGTTTAATTTTTTATTATAAAGTTCAATGTGTTGGTTCTGGCAGTGTTTCTCCTTCCAACTACTCTCACTAACAAGTCAGGAGGATATGCAGTAATTCAGAAATTAGTGAAATTTTCTTCTTGGTGGGGGCATTGGATTAAGAGGCTGGGAGAGTGTGAAACAAATCAACGTGTAATTGTATGATAAGGCTCTCACGAGGAATTTATTGGCCAAGTTGCTATTTCTATTCCTTCCTAATCTCGTTTAGCACATTCATTCTCTGCAATCTGTCTCCATAATCTTCTGTGGCAGAATGGCAGCCAATAGAAGCATGCATGTTTGGAGAGAAGAGAAAATATGCAGAAGCGTGATAAACTGATGCTAATTATCCATATTTAGGACACCGAGTGCAGAAGATCAAGGTTTACAAATAACAAACCAGAGCCAATGATGATGGCTTCCTCGTGTGGAATATGTTGGAGGGGACCAGATAAGGGTTTCACGGGCAAAAGAGATTTACTGGTCAAAGGGTTCACCTTCCACTTTTCCACTTTTATATAGCAGTAAATTATTTAGGCTAAATTCACCAGAACATTACTCTTTTATTTGGCTATGTGCCATGACTTGCTCTTTCTTTGTGTCCTTTCAATGCAAATCCTTGTAGTGTAACATCAGTTGATAAGGGACAAATAATTGAAGTAATAGGTAATTCCCGCTAAATCGTACATATAGACCAGTGAGGTAATGCTACCAGGAAGAATGAGATGAGGTAAAGAGCAGAGGGCTGAAAGTGAAGCAATACCAACCTCAGCTGTTAAATGACTTCTTTGCCAGAAAATAAATGAATGTGGATATCTGCTACGTGGGTGTATGCATATGTCTCTGTGTATTCCACAAGCCAGCAAGCTTGCGGTAAAAGGCAGGTTTTCGTTTGAGAATTGAGCCAGTATGTCTGTCTATTTCTCCTTTCTGGAATCCTTATCATTAAAAAATGTAAGTCTGAACATATTGTTTCTCTTCTGTGTATGTCCCCACATCACCTCAAATCAACCTAATTTTTAAAACTGGCTCCCAATCCTCTCCCAGACTTCTAGCAGTGGGAATAGACACAAAAAGAATTCAGGCTGAAATACCATGTGACATGGTTGAAGGGTCTGTGGTGGAGATTTTTCTGCATTACAATAATTGCCTTGAAGAGTTTCCAGAAAACAGGCACAAATGTAGCTCAGTGTTTTGTTGCACATTTGCATGCACATCTGGAAATTTAAAATATTGACTAAATCCCATTTAGTGGTACTAACTTTGATTTTGGGGAGGGGAGTGGAGCTAATCATCAGCTTTGGTACCAATTGGAAAACTAGTCTCATTGCTTCATCCTTTGAGAGTCTTCCAGAGTTTTTATTTGTAACTTTTTCAATTGGATGGATAAGACAAGAGGAGCCCTTTGGAAAATACACATTGCAATCAACTGTGAACCACTTATTATAAATACTAGACTTTAGAATAAAAAAAGAGCCATGCTGAAGTTTGGGGATATAATTTATAATTCTTACACAGAGAAGTATTAGGGAAGAATAGGTGATCCTTGGCACAATTTTTATTCACACCAGACTATATGAACAAGAAATTATCCTTAGGTTACCACCACATATATTCACTTTTTCTTTTTAACAAGTCTAAGATGCATTATTGTAGGATATATCTTTATTATACATGGCACTATAAAAAGAAAAAACTCCTCTAATTATAATTGTAAGTTGTCACTAATGATAATAGTGTATTTAGATTCCAGAAATGATAAAATTTAAAATGTGTATCTTAAAACCAAGGTAATGCAATATGCAGTTATGTCATTGAACAATGAATTTGTAACATTTTTGCCAAAAATATTTTCAAAATTACCCATTACTCTATAGAAATCAACTTTGCTGAAAATTAATAGATGTAAAATATAGTCATGCACAGCAAGGTGATGTTTCTGTTGACAACAGACAGCATTTATGACTGTGGTTCCATAAAATTATAATGCAGTTGAAAAATTCCTATTGCCTAGTGGCTTTGTAGCTGTGTTAACCAATGCACACGTGCATGTTTGTGGTCATGCTGAGGTAAACAAACCTACTGCCAGTGGTACAAAAGTACAGCACATACAGTTACAATTATACTAGACCATCTAGGTTTGCATATGATGTTTGCACAATGACAAAATTACCTAACAACTCTCAGAATGTATCCTCATCCTTAGGAACCACATGACTATAATATATCGTCAACACATAGAGCACACATTTATACATAGCTTAAAAGCATAGAATTGAAACAACTATCCATTCAATTTATTAAAAAAAGAAAAAAGGCAAATATTTTCATCAATAATCTAGCAATTGTGGCTAAAGTTATAGGTTGCTGACATTTCTAGAAATTACCTAGGCTAGAGAAAAAAACCCCAATTCTTCATGCATTTATTCAATGCATGAAGATTCCAAAAAACAATATGTAACATATGTATGTGTGTGTATATATATTTGATGTCTGTCAAAGTAAAATGAGTAACATAGGCTTGTTTTGGCAGTATGGCCTGGTTTTCATACTCCAGACTGCAGGTTGCTGATTTGAATAATTTGGTTCCCGGATTCAGTTTTTCTTTCTGAATTAGAGGATTTTTACCTATGTGAATAGTGACTAAGCTCTTTACCTATATACGCTCTCTTTTCAATTAATCCCTCTTCCCTCACTGACAACCACTGGCCAATCTATGGAAACTAGTCATCATTATGAAAATATGATTAAGTTCAGAGAAAGATCAACAATTTCTTTTAAAGTAACCAGTTAAATGCAAGGAACCAGTTATTGCTTTCCAATTGAAGCTAATTTTTAAATTTGAACTTTTTTAGAGATTAAAATCAAAGATTTCTGCTCTGGTTGGTGTAGCTCAGTGGATTGATCACAGGCTGCAAATCAAAGGGTTGCTGGTTCAATTCCCAGTCAGAGAAAATGTCTGGGGTGCAGGCCACCCAGTGGAAGCCATGTAACAGGCTATCATACACTGATGTTTCTCTCCCTCTCTTTCTCCCTCCCTTCCCCTCTCTCTAAAAATAAATTAAAATCTTTAAAAAAAATAAATTCAGTGCTTTCTTTGAAAATCAGTTTGAGTTCATGTATTTGGACAGAGGCAGATTTTCATCCCATTCGAATTGTGCCTTCACAGAATGTGGAAAAGCAAACAGGCAGGAAAAGTTACCTGACCAACAGATGTAGGGATTCTAAATGTGACTGCTGTCATAGCCATGCCCTTCAGGCTGTGCTGTGCTATGTGTATGTGCTTATATTCATGTGTGAATGTACATGTGTCTCCAAACATATGCCCACACTCAGGGGTGGTGTCTATGTTGTAGCAAGTCAAAGCAGTATGGCACTTCTTTTTTCTGCAGAGCTCAGCACTGACTGAGTTTCATTGAGGAGAAAACATGGATGTGTATAGATATGAGGGAGAAGATTAAAGGAAACTGGATATAGGGCAACTCTGAGTTAAGGTCTTTCTAGAGACCAACTTTGTTCTCCCTTTGTTCGTAGTTCATGATGCCAACATTAGGTAAGTGTGAGTTCTGTACTCAATTTCCACTCTTGGGGCTTTCTCTCTCTATGAAGTGAGTGGTTAGTTTGGTGTGTGGCTATGTTCTTTGCTCTCATTCCTCTTTAGAACCCACCCTGCCACTCCATACAAATTAACATCAAATATTATTCAGTACATGCAAATTGAGATACCTAGTAAATACCTGGTTGCCACTGAATCTTCAAATAATGCATAAAATGGCTTTGTGTGTTCATTTTCCTGAGTTTACACTTCTGGAACACTTTCATGGAGAGTTTCAGCCTCTTTAAAAATGTCTCCGAGCTGCAGTTCTTATGAGTGGGCAGTATATATTAAGGTATCTGAAATAAACATAGAACTCCAATTATTGTTTGCCTGTGAACTGGTTAGCAAGATGATTACAAGATACAGTAAATACACTTGGCATGTTGAAATGTACTTTCAGCTCCAATGACTTCAAATACCTTCTAAGTAAAACAAATAAACAGAATAATAGTGGGATTTATTTGGAATTATTCATTACGGAACTACCCAAGCTATGACATTTTCAATCACATCTTAATTCTTTTTATGAGCAGAAAGGGTCCTTATATCTTGATGTATTTATTGCTCTGGGCCTGAAGCAGTTATCTCTTTGCCAATTCTATGGCTCCTAGAGCTGATGAGAAGCCGCGGGGTCTTTTGTGGATCACACATGGTTTGCCCTGGCTTCTGCATATTCAAAGTGAAATAAATACTGAGGCTGACTGTCCTAGATTACGATCTATGAGTTGATTTGTTAAATGAGCCCATTGCTTTAAAAGTTACAAATGACAAGATTTATACCATTACAAGTAATTTATAGCTATTTCCTATTTGATGTGAGAGATCCTCATGAGAAGTCCAAATCTGTCTGCTTGACATACATTTATTTTAACACTTCCCCCTTCTCCAAATCCTAGCATGTATTAACTACTGTTTTTCTAGGTGTCAATTTGCACCTGTGGGGTTTACCTCTTGAGGCTTCATTGAGGTCCTTGGCCTCTACTCCAGATGGCTGCTTGCATTTCAACAGCTAATGTAGGTGATTACTGGCATATTTACTGTAATTTATAAAAATTCACAGGAAATGACATTTTTATTAGTCACTGACTCCACCATCACTAACTGCAATGGATATTATGCATACAAATCCATTTTTAAAAATTGTTCTTCCAAAATCAGGAGCTTTTTCCAGTCTCTAATTTTGTAAAATGATCATGTTTTACTTTTACTTATAATGAATAAGATCACAAAGGAGCTCGGATCTGAGCTGATTTTTTAAGGGCTGGGAATTTTCTTGTTGAGACTGGAATAAGGGTCAGGGGAATGCCTTCCAAGGCTGAGAGAAGAATCCAGAAATATTTAGATCTCAGTTCGAGGGGCAGTGCAGAAGGCTGTTAAGAGCATGAGCTCTGGACCCAGGCTGCAATCCACGGAATCACCTCCTGCCCATAGTGAGGGTTACATACATATTGGCCGTCATTATCACGTAGTGTGTGCCAGTATTTGTGCACCTGTTCCAGTGACAGACTCTGGAATGGTCAGCCAGAGCTGACTTGGTGCAGAAGAGAAAAGAGGGATTCTTTTCTCTTCTTAAAGAATTCACTGAATTCTTCAAGTTAAGTATCATTTTCCCTGTGATACTCGGGGGATACATCAGAAGAAATTGATGCTCCAAGAAGTAAAAAAATTGCCTTGGCTTACACAACTAATAAGTATCATAGTCAATGTTTGAATAAGACTTCAAATTAGTGCTTTCTCTATACCAAAGATAGTACTACAGGATTTATACACATGTATCTGTCACAGTAGAACATAAGGTGGAATTTCACCAAACACAAAAATGCATGAGAAGAAGATTAAGTGCTATGGGAGATGAGAAAATTGGGATTTGCTATGGTTGGAATGACTCTGGAGAAGTGCTCAAATAAACTTCTCTATCTTCTGGAACAACATAAAGTAGGAGTCCCTAACTGTTTTGTGACATCAACCCATTCAACAATCTGGTGAAGCCCATAAACCCCTTCTCAGGATAATGTTTCTAAATGTATAAAATAAAACACATAAAAGGAATGAACTCATTATTTGGAAACTTGATAAACTTAGGGAAAGAACTAAACATGTTTATTCTGACTTTCTACACTAATTTTACCACTGAGTAAGCACATAGTTAATGAGGCATACTTTTTCCTTATAGAAATAATACAGATAATGGATTATAGGGAATAATAATATTAAAAGAAAGTATATCGTAACCCTTGGTTAACTAATGGGTCTGAACACTGAAAATCGATGGCTGCTCACCATTGACAACCAGAATTAATTCCACCCTCTCTACTGCCCTCCAAAATCTGATGGTATTAGCCACATCGATCCCACTCGCAGCTCCCAGAAGGCGCAGAGGAAAGAGGAACATGACAAACTACACCACGGGGTAGTTGCAGTATAGTTTCCTAGACTGTAGGAAACTCTACATGACTTTTTTTTTTCAAAAGATAAATTGCAAGAAGAGAGAGAAAGAGATGAGGGAAGAATCTATAAATTAAGAGATGTATAAGACATAGCAACAATTGAAGGTGTGAATCTTTGAATTTGAATTATTATTTCTTAAAAATTTTTAAGAATTATAAAATTTATAGGTACTTGACAATTTGAACACTGTTGGGATATTCGATGATATTTAAGAAATTGTTGATTTTTTAAAGTGTGAGGACGGTATTATGTTTGTACTTCAAGAAAAAGAACTTACATTTTAGAGATACACACTAAAATTCTTGAAGATGAATTTATATAATGTCTACTACAAGATAATGCAGCATTGAAAAGAATGTGGGGGTACAGTTGGGTGATGTACATGTGAGGTTCTATATATCATTGAGTCTATTTTTATGTGTGTTCCAAGTTCTCCATAATGACAAATTAAAATTAATATTTCAGATTACCAAGGAAACAATGCATTGAAGTGCAATATCAAAATGTTTTAAAATATTTTGTGATATAGTAATAATCCCTCAACAATGCACTAAGTAACAAGGTCTGTGGCAGATCTAAAACCTAATGCAATTTCAACATGGTTCTGAGTATAAGTGATATTTTGAAATATTTTCAACAACTGTACTATGATGTGAAAATACTGATTATTCAATTGGAGACAAAAGTCCGAGTAACGTTAATAATTGTGTGGTTTGTTGATTACATTCATAGCTAAAGAAAATCCTAAATTTTGGCTAAAGGTTAATAAATATAAAGATGAATATTTTATGTCCAAGTTCAACGGACATTCTGAATTCTGTGGATAGAGTCCTCCCATCCCAGGTTTTCTCAGTGGACCCCAGGTTAACAGCCCCTCTTCTGAAGGTATAGGAGAGTTCTGAAGTGAATACAGTGTTTTTATTTTACACTAGAGCTATTCATGTCAATATGGGTATTTGGATTGATTTTAAAATCATGGTTCTCATCTGTTTGAAACACCCATGAATCTGTTTCTGATTCCCTCTTTTCCTTTTGGAGCCCTAGGGGCTCTTGCTTCAGAGACAAGTTGGGTTCCTAGCACTTCTTCTCTCTCTGATATCAGAAAGGATACAACATACCACATTTATTATACTAGGCACCACTTGTAATGATATAGAACCTCATATTCTTAAAACAGAATAAAAAATACCTTAGAGACAAGTTAATGCAACTCCTGCAATTTGCAGATGAGAAGAGTGATGTTCAGACTAAGTAACTCTCTAATACAGAAGTCCCTAAACTTTCTCAGTTCACGGCACCCTTATCATCTCAATAATTTTTTCACAGGATCCTCACCAAAAACAAACAAACTACTAATTTTGTTTATTAACTAGCTAGATTCAACTTTAAAACATTCTTAAGTACTAACAACCCTGTAGCCATTTGAAAAAATAATACATGTAAATTGACAGGGAAAGTGAAATTTTAATTGCATTCTTAAATAATCATAATTTCTTCCTGATGGCATGTGTGTCTGCTATCATAATCAGATTTGGCTACCACCATTTTTCACTTCATATTCTCCACTGATTTGTTGCCTTTTACTTCAGCAAATGCTCCAAACCCAGCTTCACAATGATGTTGTTGTAAGAAATGTGCCACAATTTAGTGGAAAATTGTGAACTGCATCAGGCTGGTAGTTTATGCAGTGACCAGCATATAATAAGTATCACTGTGTCTCCCTTGAAATTTAAAATATTATGTGGCACCTCTGTGTGTGATGATGTCTCAGGTTACCTTGAAACACAGGTAGGGGACAGAGTTTACACAAGCAGGTGCCATGGATCCAGAAGAACCAAAGTCCCTTGTTTCCTATCCAAACCCAGAACTTGATGAAATCATGTGACCCATTACTGGTGTGTTAAATCCTGAAAATTCTCTCAATCCAAGTTATATAACTTATCTGGACTTTGTTCCTCAGATAAATTTATTTGATTAGTGGAAAGCCCACTGTTTAATTTTTTAAACTTCTGACAGTTCTTTCACCAGTGTTTGACAGTTAATTTTAATTTTCACTGCTACTTTGGATCATGATTGAAAACTAGGTCTAGGACTGATACTAGACCTTCTACTGTTAAGAAACTATAAAAGTGGATGAAATATATGACACACCTGTTCTCAACTGTTATACAAAAAGCAATGTAGGGCTGTGATACCTAAGCAAATGGAAACTAATGAGGTGAACCCCATGATCAACAGCTTTCTGCCTGGAAGCATTCTCAAAACCACGATGCAAGGATGGGGTGCCAATGCAGAATAAGGCAGTTCTGCTGAGTTGAGGAGTCAGAGATTGAAGAGTAGGACCAAAGAGAGAGCTACAGGGAAGGATATAAGAAGTGCACAGAGCCTTGGCTTGTGTGGCTCAGTGGACTGAGTGCCAGCCTGTGAACCAAAAGGCCATCTGTTTGATTCCCGGTCAGGTCACATGCCTGGGTTGCTAGCCAGGTCCCCAGTTGGGGGTATTCTAGGGGCAACTAATTGATGTTTCTCTCACACATTGATGTCTTTCTCCCTCTCTCTCTCTCTCCTTTTCCTTCTCTCTAAAAAATAATTAAATAAAATCTTTTTTTAAAAAAAGAAAGAAAAGAAACGCACAGAGAAGGTGTTCCAGATATTTGCATAGGTATCCTCTTGACTGAATAGTTGGCTTTCTATGCTAAAGGCAAGGTTCTGACATAGCAGGCAAAGATCAACTGCCAAGGAGAAGTGGGAATCCCAGAACTTACATGAGGCTGAGAAACGATGGTGTACCAATCAACCACACACTACATGAACATCTCAGAAGGGACATGCCTTAAGAATAGGGCTA